AAAAAAAAAAAAACAAAAAAAACAAACAAAAAAGAAGCTATTGTAGCTGACGTGGTAGATCAAACCTACTCTGGTAGGCGAGAGGATGCCTGAGTCAAGGGATTTGACCAGTTGGGCAACTTGGTGAGACTTCATCTCCACAATAATTTTTTTTTTAAATAGCTGTATGGTGGCTTACATCTGTAGTTCCAGCTATTTGGAAAGTTGAGGCAGAAGGATCTCCCGAGCCCAACAGGTTGAAGGTGCAGTAGTTGCAAGCATGCCACTGCACTCCAACCTGGGTGACAGAGTGAGTCCCCGACTCAAAAAAATGTTTTTAAAGCTATGGTAGAAGTAACTTTGGTAAGCAATGAGGAGGGCCTGAATAACCAGTGAAATATAAATAAGGCAAACTGATAGAATGTGATGGTTAGATGAACATGGGGTTGGAGTAGAAGAAAAGCATTTATAAGAGACCACCCACTTTGCTGTTCAATAGCCAGATGCCACTAAGAGATATAAAATGCAAGGAGAGCAACAAGTTTTAGGAGAGAGCATGATAAATCCCACTTTGAAAATCCTGAGATTGAGATATACATTAAAACCATTCATTAATATTAAAAAAACAGTTATTGAGCATCTATACCTTGTGTCAACTGGGGGTATTCACAGACACTCAAAAAATGAGAAATAAGATTATGATCATCATGAAGAAATCATCTCCATGCTGCTTGATGTTCCCAAAAAGTAGCATATAATCTCTATTACTTTGCATTATATTATTAGAAATTGTTTCTGCCATGATGAAAGCAACCTCCCACTGGAGCTGATGAGAGTAAGAAAAGAAGGAGCTCCTGTCCTCCTGGGAGCACCTTGTGAATTAAAGGTTCTATCTTTGGGCAAGAGGCTGCAGTTTGTCTTCTGTTATGGGCTCACACGTTTCATCCCTTTGAGACCTATTTATTGGTACCTACTATGCAATAGAGAGTGTTGTTAGTGCTAGAAATACAGCTAAAAAAAGAAAGAAAATCCCATGAGTGAAAGAGAAGTCAAGACTCCAAGATTTTTAACTGGGGTACGTTAAAAGATGAAACTGTAATTTACTGAGGAAAAAAACCATAGAACAAACAGGCTTGGGAAGAAAGATTAGAACTTCAGTTCAGAAGCTATTAAGTTGGAAATATCTGTTAGTGATCCAAATTTTAAAAAAAAAGTTGAGAAAGAAATTAGACATAGGAGAATCCAGTTCAAAAATAGATATTACCATAACAATAGTATGTAAAAACCAAGATATCAGATAGAATCACCTGGAGAATAGAGAAAAGAAGAAGTTTAAGAAGTGACTGGGACGTTCAACTGTAGGTTTCAATTTGTAGATTTGAGAAATAAGTTTTAAAAAAGTAAAAAGCCATCGGTGACACAGAAGAAAAACAAGGCAATTCTGGTATCACTGGAAGTATGGGAAAAGGTCTCAACATGGAGACAGTTAACAACTGTGTCAAATAAGATAAGAGCTAATCAATTACCACTGCATTTGGCATAGTGAAAACAATGTTGAAAGGACAGTTCAAAAAGTTACTGTTTCCAGTGGAAAAACATAGGTTCTCACAGGTACCATATGCAACCAGTAAACAAAAGCAATTAAAGTTGGCTCCAAAATATTATCTTTGTTCCAAATGCATTCTTATACACTAGAAATACTGCTCCTTGATCTTTGGTTTAAATAAGTCTATGTAAAGACACTTATCTCTGGATGTTACAGATCGCGAATTTAGTTCTAATGCTTTAAAAATCAAATACTACAAGCTCATTTTGTTACTCTTGCCCCAAATACCAAAAAGGACCTTATATGAGAAAATATATTTTTAATATAACTTCTAGCTGGAGGGGTGTGTGGGTGTGTGTGTCTATCTAAGATTTAGGATAGTTGAGAATTCCCCTGAGGACAGCAATAGATTAAAAGAATGATACAAGGACTGAGCAAAGCCCTCATAGCCTAAGATCAGGAAAGTGAACAGCCAAAAGGGTAATGACAAATAGTGGGACAAATGTCAGCAATAAAGACATAACAGGGGACAACAAGATAACTATAAACAGAAGTATCAACTATTCAATATGCAGGACAAAGACAGTCAACGGCCAACTAAAGAACAAGGAAAACGAGCAAAGGAAAATCACTACAATTAAAAAGAGGTTAACAGCAAGTCAGAGGACCAGGCCACTACCCATGACACTGAATCAGCAAAGTAGCTTCCTGCCCTTGAAAATATACATAATGAGGCCAGGCGTGGTGGCTCACACCTATAATTCCAGCGCTTTGGGAGGCTGAGGTAAGAGTATTGCCTGGGCCCACGTGTTTGAGACCAGCCTGGGCGACTTGACAAG